AGCATAGTACTGGCAAAATAACAGACATGAGGATCAGTGGAATAGATTTGAAAATGCAGACACAACTACAAACACACTCAGCCACCTTATCTTTGACAAAGGGACCAAATATGTTCACTGGAAGAAAGTTAACCTATTTAATAAATGGTGCTAGAAAAACTGGCTTTCCTCATGCTGAAGACTAAAAGTAGACCCATGTCTAGCACCATGCACTAAACTAAAATGAAAATGGATCAAAGGTCTAAATATTAAAACAGAAACACTAAATCTACTGGAAGAGAAGATAGGTAGACATCTTGAAGACACAGGGGTGAGCAAATAAGTCATTAACAAAAACCAAACTGCATGGGAAATACTTGAAAGAATCAACTGGGATCTCATGTTATTAAAAAGTTTTTGCACATCAAAAGAGATCACCAACAGAATGAAAAGAAAACTCAGGAATTGAGAAAAAAATTAGCCAACTGTCCCCCAGAAAAAGGAATTCCAGTTAGAACATATAAAGAATTGAAAAAGAAAATCCAACCCCCAAATTCAAAGACCTAGACCAAAAATGGGCATCTACGAGGAATACACTCTTCTCAGATGAAGAAATACAAATGGAAAATACATATATGAAAAAATGTTCAACATCATTGTTCATCTGAGAATTGCAAATGAAAAGAACACTGAAATTCCACCTCACCCCAGAAAGAGAGTCTATCATTAAAAAATCAGCCAATAGCAAATTTTGGAGGGCTATGTGGAAAAAGGAACACATCTCCACTGTTTGTGGCAGTGTAAACTGGTACAACCACTGTGGAAATCAGTCTGGAAATTCCTCAGTAAATGGGATTAGAGGTCCCATTCAACCCAGCTATTCCCCTTCTGAGTATTTTCCTAGAAAAATTCAAAACATCATATGACAGCAATATATGTGCACCCATGCTTATAGCACCATAATTTATCATAACTAAATCTTGGAAACAAGTCAAATGCCCATAAACTGAGGTATGGATAAAAGAGATGTGGTATCTTTATACCATGAATTACTACTCAAATATAAATCAATACAAACTTGAGGCTTTTTATGTACATGGATCATACTCATAAGTGAAATAAATCAGGCTCAGGTGTGTAAACATTGTATTGTCTCCCTAGAGTAAGAAACTGACACAGTGAATAAGATTCAAAAGGTACAATAGATATTGTGAAAGGGAAAGAAACTTCTCAAAAGGAAAGAATAAGTGGGATGGGGAAAAGGAGAAAAGAATGAAGGAATATATATATATATATATATATATAAAGACAATTGTACTACTAATTTCTATTAGCTCATTGAAAGGAACAGTTAATGTTTATATTGTTTGATCAATCTTGCATGGCTATGTCTGGTAATCTGAGGAAGTACTTTAAAAATAACAATATGCAGTATAATAACCATTGTTAATTTCCTATCATGTTATTTTGAAATTCCATATTATTTTTTCTTCTCTTTAAAAAAAATGTCTTTTTCTAATCATCAGGCAGCTCCAAGCCAACCAAGTTGACTCAGTGAGGCTGAACCACTGCACTCTCTGTATGGCTACAAGGGAGACAACACACTTAGCTGTATTGCACACGGATCCTTGGACTTTCCCTGAAGGGTTTCATGGGAATCTTGACACCTCCAGTCATACCTGTGACCTTCAGCCAAGTCCTGTAAATCCACGAGCCTCAGTTGTTTATTATTCTACCACACAGGGTAGTGTTGACTCAAATAATGCACACAATATGCTTAGTAAGTTCTTCACACCTAACAGGCAGTCACACACAGTTGCTACGAACCAGCGGACCCTCTGACTGAAACTTGCTTAACCATAGAGCTTAGTTGGGTCTCTGTCACTTAGGCAAATGTCATTTGTAGAGTAGATAAAGTCTGGTTATGTATCAGCAGGTTTCATATATATATACATGGGCTATACCTATAGATGACAGTCTGAACCACCCACATAGGGCTGCTTATGATGATATACGTCCGAATGGCCAGGAGATTTGACCAGCTATGCAAGCAAGTTGGACCAGGGTCAGGAAAAGTTTCATGAATGTCAAGCTCTGTTCTGTACAGAAAGTGTTCAATAAGTGGGGAAAAAAGTAATTCCTAGGAGATGCTGCCGCCGCTGCTGCTCTACTGAGAATCTCTGGGGTAGATAACATTAGTGTCTTTCAATGTCTCCAGAGACAGCAGGAATTCTTTGTCTTACATTTTCTTTATTTATAGACATAAATGGAAAGGGTCACTCCTGATTTTTCAGTTAAGGTAAATCATTAATCTCTTCAATATTCAATTCCTCTGGTCAAAAGAACATTGTCTACTCCTGCTGAGGAGCAGGTACCTCACCCTTTCTAATTAACAGGTTACCATGAACATGACCATCTCTGTCAACCTGAAAGAATGTCTTGCTTATTTGTTGATTGCTACTGCCCAATTCAATAGCCCTCCTGTTAGAAGAGTAGCACATTGTTGTCAAACAAAGAGCTTAGAGGGATTATCTTATACTATTCTGATGTGATGCTTTTCAGAGTGGAGCTGTACATTTTAAATGCTCTATGTGCTCTAGACAGAGCCTATTACCTCTGTCCTCATCACAACTTGAAGTTGATAGTTTATCAGACACATCTCTGCGGTGGGGGTAGGTGTAGAGAGAGCAATTGCCTGCTCCCACTATCATGGCTTTGTATGCCTGTGGCCAGGTTGTCTTCCAGAGTCAGTTCTCCTTTTCTTCTTGAGGGAAGTTCTGGAGAAGCAGTTCCGAGGAGTCAGCGTGGTACAGAAAGAGCAAAAATGGAAAGGGTACTCCAGTCTGGGTGGGTGTTTTGTTTTCTCAATTTTATCTTTAAATCATATAAGGAAATAGTCCTAACCAGCCACTATTAGCAACCACAACACTCACCTGTATTAGACCCTCTCCGGGAACAGAATAAATATAAAAATATGTTTAGTTATGCAAGGGCTTTATTTAGGCTTACAAGGTCAGAAGCAGAAGAGTCACAATGGCTGTCTTCAGGATCAGAAGTCAAAATATCCAAAATGGTCCTCTGAGCAAGGGTGAGCCTGAGCATTTAGTAACAGTCGAAGTCTGAGGGCTGAAACTCACTGTGGAGACCAGTATGAGTCTGTGTCAGATGGAAGTATCTGTGTTGGGAGGGTGAAGAAACTAAAGACCAAGGGCCAAAGGCAATGTTATCTAAGACCAGAGCACCTCCAAAAAAGGAAATTTTTTTTTTCCCCTTTCTGGTTTTTTTGCCTTTTCTGTTTGGTCCAAGGCACAAGCTTATTGGTTGGTGACACCCACATTGGGTGTCACCATCTTCCCCCTCAGTTTTTAAACTCCCCTCTCTGTGTTAGACTAGTGAAGTCTTCTGCCTTGTAGCAAGGCACTTGTGCCCAGGGAGAGTTATGTGAGGGGAAGTGGGGGGCCACAGACCTACAGTTATCCAGCCGGACCAGTTCAGGAGTGAGACATTAGCACACTTATTTGGCCACTGTTCTGAAGCCATGTTCACCAATCAATATGATCAGTCACAAAGCTGATATTTTCAGTTGTATATATCTCCCTCCTAATACCATCTCCCAGTTGGTTGTAAACTCAGTCTGCCTAAAGCTCCCATAGTGTGTGCAACTACAAAGGAATTTCAAAAATATGAGAAGGCAAATTACATGAAGAGAAGGAACAAGGATTTGGTTGACATCTGCATCTTTGATATGCCAGTATTCCAGTTACTATGCTCGAGTATCAACTTATCTTACAATGTAAAATGTAGTGGTATAAAACAATGCTTTGTTATACTCATGCTTATGAGAATTATAGATTCAAACAGGGCATAAAGAGGATAGTTTTCCTCTGTTCTGTGATGGTAGTATCATCTGGCAACATGTTCCTCTATGTGACCGGCAATTTATACTGCCTGTTGGCTGGGAGTCTCAGTTTTTGTTCCTCTCTATGTGGCCTTCTCATGGGCTGGTTTGGGCTTCCTCAGAGCATGGTGGCTGGGTTCTAAGAGATCATGCTGAGAAAAGGAAGGAGGGGAGGAGAGAGAGAGAGACAGTATGAACAGGAAGAAGCTAATAGCCTAGCTTGGGAATCACACAGCATCATGTCTGCTATATTCCCGTGATCAATCACAAACTTTCCTCAAGTTCAAGGGAAAGAGAAATAGAAATAAGTTTGGGGAGAGCACATGGGTCTAAAACTTTGTTGCAGTTATTTTAGAAAAAACCATATACTATAAAGAGTAGCAGAATATAAGAGAAATTGTCTTCCTCTAATAAGTTTATAAAACTACTGCAGAAAAAAGATGTGGCAACTAAGCTGTAGTTTATGATATTGTGGGTTTATGTAGTCATTTCTGTTATGAACAAATGCGAAGGACATAACTGTCTTGTAGTAGAGAACAAGATGGAGGTGGCCCATGCAGACAGACTGGCACACAGAAAAAGGAATCCAAGGAGATATTTGTGACATTGTCTGAGAACACTTCTTCAGGTATTGTACAGTTCAGATACACATATTGAACAACTTTATATTTTTTATATCTTCTTTGTAAAAATTTTTTGCCAGTATCTTATTATAAAAAATCAAACATACAGCCTAAAACAATTCAGTCTGTCAAGTAGAGTTCAATATTTGCTTTGAGATAAGATTTTGAATTTATTTATTGAGTTAGTTGGTTGTCATGAGTTGGGTTCAGATTCATAGCCAGACACACCCATCAGACCCCAGCATAAGAATCCTCGGAGAACACTTGAGTTTGTAACTCAAAAAGGCTTCAAATCATAAGCAAAATGTATAGAAAGTATAAGAATAGAGGGTAAATGATATCTCCAGCCCCTTTTTCAAAAACATTTCAAGACAGTCTGACTACTTTGCCCAGGCCTCCCAGAGTGCTGGGGTTATGGGAATGTGCCACCATACCCAGCAAAATTTAAAATTTATTTAAGACATCATGGTCGTGAAGAGAGTTGCTTTATCCTTGCTTAGGTGAGGTATTCAGAAGATATCAGGCTGGGAGGAGACAGCAGGAAACTGAAAGAGTCACTCAGCATGGGATTGGAAGTCCAGAATGGGAGTCGCTCACTTGGAGGTGTCGTTCATGTGGTAAGTTGTCACTAGTCTGCAAATGAAGCCTTAAGTCATCATATTTTTGTTAAATATCCTCATGGTGGGTGATTTTGGACACTGGTCCTTGCAAAGCAACTTCCACATATTTTTGATGATGTCTCACACATAGGCAACCAGTCCCGTTTGTTCTTTCTTGCTGCTTAACCCATGCTGCTGCCAGTGATTCCTGGAAAGGACCGGCCCTTGGACCCACCCCTACATCACCAGTTCTACACCAAACCCCTTTGTGGACTCAACCAACACTTCTCTGGACTCTTCACAGCCCTGCAAAGACTGAGTTGGAATTAACGATCACCAGGTCTTTGGGTATAATGAAATGAAGTGTGTATAAGACAGAAACTCATAGCACCTTTAGATGAGGCTTCTCTGAGATCTCCGGCTCATGACTGTTCTGGGGCCTTAAAAGGGCCATTTCCTTCCTGCATATGGCAGGGAACAGCCCTGACCTATCTGCAAAACGATCCACATTTTACAGTGCTGGAAAAGGGAAAAGAATTTTCTTTCCCTTCAAGTCTGTGGCTACCTCTCCTCCTTCACTCAACCAGAATCTGCCTCTTTCTAGAATGAGAGGAAGTGGGCAGCCCTGTCAGAGAAATCTGTCTGCCTTATTCCTCGTCCCACCACTCACTTTGTGGTCTGGTCCTATCTTCTCAAAGTTTGGTTTATCCATTCTTGAATACCATAAAAAGAGAAAGGCCACAAGCCTATTCCATTCCTTCCCATGGTCTTTTCTGCAGTGAACTGATCGTGCAGCAATCTGCTCTGTCCTGTAGATCTCTGCAGTTAGTCTTCTACAATTCTGAAAGAGAAAAGATCCACTTATTGCAAAGCAACAAAAAAAAAATCTGCAGAGATCAATCCAATTCTCAGCAGTGACCATGTAGAGAATTCATCTGATTTATCTCAAAATTTGAGTAGAAGGAAACAATATCAATTTTCCCAAAAGCAAAAGGGTAGAGGGTGCTTCCTGATTCCTCGATCTATATTTATATTATTAAATTTATGTCTGAAAATATTTTCCAAGAACAAAGATAGTCTTTCTTAAAGGTAATTTCAAAAGGTGCGTACGAATTTGAAATCATATTCTCTCCCAAGTTTTTATTGTCATCAAATTTCTAATCACCCTGCCACATTTATTCATTTCTATCCAACAGAGATTTGAATCATCTGTGTTTGACATGTGTTTCTGTAATGTATTTAACCACAGTATTTGTTGATGATGATGTATATTTTGAATCTCCATAAGTACAGGTGAAGAAACCAAGAATGTCTATGCTTTTAAACAATTTGCCATATGCACGAGTGTGGATTCTCAGAAGAAGGTAAGACATAGTTCATCCCTCAGTTCTATAACCTGTTAGAGCTTCCCTGGTCCCTGTACAACTTCCTCCTGTTTAACCACACCATCTACACTCTCCTTGCTCATGACAGGAGCCTATTTTGAGATACAAGCTCAAGTGTTCTCAGAAGATTCTGGTACTGGGGTCTGATTGATGCCAGTCTATGAATCTGAACCCAGCTCACAGGAGCCAGCAGCTTACCTTACACCAGAAGATGTTATTTTTTTTCTGTGAATCAAATTAATTACAACTCTTGGCCAATATTTTACTAAGCTGGTGGAAAATTCAATTTCAGATTTTTGCCATACATCTTTTTTTTGTGGTAGTGGGGATTTAATCCAGAACCTTGGGCAGTAGGCCAATGCTCTACCACTGGGGTGGGTGTTTTATTTTGTAGGAAGGGAACTTTCCTACCCCTTTTCAGGATTTCACTAGAATTGAGGATGTGTATGTGGTTTTGAGAAAGGAAAGAAAATACCTTTAGGCTTCAGTTCACCTTGGTAGTCACTGATATGCTCATTGCTGAAAAACGTTTCTTGAATAATCTTGCTTTGTGCTAAAGCTGGAGACACTGATGCCCAGAGGCCAACCTTCCACTCTGTAAAGTGCTTTCAGGGTGTTAGTTTTATTGGACATTTGGTGTTGGTCTCAGTCTCACCCAATACCCAGTTGTTACGAATTCAAAACAAAAAACTGAACAAGACACACAGAATTATAATAAAGACAAAGATTTATCAAAGGAAAGTACACTCCTCAGAGTGAGAATGAGCTGATGAGAAAACTCAAGAGCAAGTTTAACTCAGAGTGGTCCTGTCTGCTTTAGACTTTGAGGTTTTCATTGGGGCCTTTCCTGGATTTGGGTGTGTGGGGTGGCACCTAAAGGACTCCGTACAATAAATTGATACTCTCCACCCTCATATTGGCAGGGGATGTTTTATATTTTATATGGGCCTTGGACAGAAAGCTCATAGGAAAGGGGGGTCAAAAATGCAAAGCTAATGATATTATAATGACCAAGGGGTTGGTTATCTTCAGGTACTCTGAAGCAGTTAGGGCACATGTTCCCTGGGCTCATGCTGGAGGTCAAGGAGATATGATAAGGGAATAAGCATATGTTTTAGGTTCATGTCAGGATATTAAAGCAATACAGTGAGGGCAGGACCTTATTTCTTGAGATGTTAAGGAAATCGTTCTTGAACTCAAGGCCAGGATGTCTCCCACACTTTCTATCTCCTGCCTCAGTAGAGCAAGGTCCCTACCACAAAATCCATAAAATCCAAGCCCCCTTCCATTGGACTGCTACACACAAAACTGCCTCCCCATCCTCCCCAATCCCTGAATTCCTTAATTTCTTCAATCAATTAGGGCTTTTGAAAAATAAAACTAAAACAAAGGCCAGGAGGATAGGTTGTGCTAAAGCAACTTCTCTAGTCCCTGTGGCAAAAGAATGAGGTCATAACAAAGGGAATGAAGGAGGGAGAACACAGTCAGAAAAAAATCCCAAAGGCTAGTCATCTTTCCTTAAAGCAACAAAACCAAGACAGAAACCAGTATCTTTTTTGAAAAATTGTCTTGCTACAACTCAACAGATTAAGAATTGGCTGGGGCCCACCAAACGGGAAGGGCTTTCCAGCGACTCAGCAGCCTGTTATCTGATAGCAGAGCAAACACAGACTAATCCCTGTAACAGAGCAGAGTGTAGCAAATAATTTTAAAAAGTGAAAATTCTGTGGAAATAAAAACAAAGAAATAATTCTATGAAGTCAAAAGGTGGAAAGATTCCTTTTCAGTGGGGCAAGTTCTGAAAAATTGGTATTTGAAGGGCTGGGGCTATAACTCAATGGTACAACATGCACAAAAGTAAAATAAAATAAAATAGGTATTTGAGCTGGGCCTTAGAGAGGGGTTTCTATTATGCAGAAGACAAGTAAGCCACAGCGGAGTATATTTTAGGCAGAAGGAGGTGTGAGAACAGCGCCACTGATGGAGGAAAATGTTAATCTGGCCAGAGCATGGAGAATTCCAGCAACCGCTGAGAAGCTGGGTAAGGGGGCACACATCCGTCATCCCAGAACTCTGGGAAGCTGAGGCGTAAGTATCACAAATGGGAGCCCATCTGGGGCAATTTAGTGACTTAATGAGACTTTGTCTTAAAATAAAAATTAAAAAGAGCTGAGGATGTCACTCAGCAGGAATGCCCTGGGTTTAATTTCTACCACTGAAAGAAAAACCTGATGAGAAAGCTTGGCTCACTTTGGGACTGGAAGAGGGTGAGTGATTAGAGAGATGTGACTTCTCCCCAGCAGGAGCTAGGTGCTGTCCTAACAGACCAAATTAGTCCTAGAGACTTAAGGACAATGAACGGGAGGAATTTGAGTAACTCACGATGACAATGCAAAGCTAGCGCTGTCAGGTAGGGTACATTTAGGCAAAGAGGCCCTCAACAGTTCTCAGGAGAAATGTCTGATCCCAAGTACATAGTGATTTTGTCTGCTTTCTTTATAATATGAGGATATTTGACATATTTTGCCTCAGTCTAGGGCCCTAGCTAGATTCCAGGGCATAGGAAAATCTTATCTGTCTCTTATTGTGCACTTTAATTCTAGTGGGAGAGTGTTGACGCAGGGGACTGGTGGAGGCTGTGTAGATACAGGGGCTTTCTTTATATCATATCCATGAGTTTATATATAAAAGTCCTCTTTCCTGGAGGTGAAGGGAGTGTTTCTATAAATTTTTTGAGTGAAAGCAGAAAAGGAAAAGCAGCTAGACTTGCATTTTAAAAATTGGTTTTACTGGGGTGAAAAGATGGTGATTTAGCTCTATGCTCTTTCACCTCATTCCTTCATTCATACACTTAACAGATACCTATAGAGCGCCTGTGTAATGGAAATCTGATTTTCCCTTTCCTCTTTCTTAGAACAGAATCCTTGTTTTCCCTGGTGACCCCCGACCTACACTACAAATCCCTTTGATTTGGTGGAACTCATTCCAGCCTTGAGTCCAGAAGCAAACACATGACGTGGGCTGGCTAGACCTCACACCCTGCTGACCATAGTGAATGTGTCACCACGGGGCATGTGACGCAGCCAGAGATCGTATATATAAATTCCTTAACTCCCATGGAAAGATTGTATGGAAAAACCCTATCTTGTCAAAATTGAAACAGAGAACTCAGATTTATAAGATTGGAGATGGAGGGGAACATCCTAACCCCAAAGGCAGACGTTGAGTAAAGAAGTGAGAAAGATAGGGTCCAAAAGACTGTTTAAACCTCTTTGTCTACCCTGGCCTGATTATCCTCTGGACTTTGCAATGACATGAGCTTGTTTTTCATTAAGGTCAGTTTGGGTCACATTTAGTCACCTGTAACTAAGTGTGTCCAAATTGAAGCAAGTTGGAATACTGGCCTGATGCCGTGGAGTATAGCTATTAACACAGTCCCGATGTTTGTTACTTCTGCCATATAAAAGAAGTCAGAATAAATTACAAAACAGTCCCAGGCTTTGCTATGACATAATAATTAGCTGGATCTACTCAGGAAAAATCAAAACTATTCTGTCCAACCTAAGTACTTCATGAATATTTTTTTAAACTGTGAGGTCAGAAACCAGTTACAGACCAGATGGGAAGTTGTAGTTACTTCTACATTCGTGACTTCTTGTCCCTGCTCAAAATTTTTCTCTTTTGCCAAAGGTCCACATGTCTTGGGCAGAACTGATGTCTGTTTTCATTTTTTTCATACCTACTTTGCTCTCTTGGGCAAAATATTTCATCTATGTGCTCCTAAAATGTTCTTATTGCTAAAATGGGTGAGAGAAATACCTGCTGTTTTGCCTGAAAGGATCGATTTCTCTGATGTGATCACACACACACACACACACACACACATATGAGAGAGAGAGAGAGAGAGAGAGAGAGAGAGAGAGAGAGAGAGAGAGAGAGGGATTTAAAATTATAACGTTCAATGTAAATGAAAGGATAAAAATTCAGATTTTTTTTGTGGGCCTGGGAATTGAACTCAGGGCCTTCACACTGAGCTATATCCCCAGTTTTAAAAAAAATTTTTTTTTGTTTTCTTTTGAGATACTCTCAGGTAGGGCTTCAACTTGTGATCTTTCTGCCTCAGTCTGTCAAGAATGCTGGGATTATAGGAGTGTGCCATCATAACTGAATAAAAATATAGATTTAAATAATTTAAGCAAAGCATATCTTTACTTTGGATTGACTGATAACCTTATACATGGTGATCTGCTGGCAAATGTTTAGCAACAGGATCTCTGGAGGAAGAAAAATACCCAATTAATAATGTTGACTAGTTTCCATGGTATAAATATCCCTAACACAGCCAATTTAAATCCATCAAATTGCTTCCAAAATTCTTTACTATCAACCTCTGTAGGGTATAAGAGCCTGCCTCAGTACAACATTTCTCCAATACACTGGCTACCCTTACCTGCCTCAGCATCACTTATCAAAACACCTATCCTTTTACTTTAAAAAATTTTTTTTTGGTACCAGGAATTGAACTCAGGACCTTGAGCTTGCCAGGCAGGTGTTTGTGCCGCTGAG